GAGACATATTTATATATATATATAGAGATACACACACACTTACCTACATACATGCATGCATACATATGTATATATGCCTCCCCCCCACCCTACCTTTTTTCTCCCAATGGACCTACCACGCAGCCTGCAGTGTACTCTCCGGTCCAATGCAGGCTTAAGCATGTATAAGGACGCGAGCACGATTGTCTTTCGAGAAGACATACAAAGCCTCGCATACATGCAGTGACAGCATTTCCTCGAATAAGCATCTCATGCACGAATGCAAAAGTTAGCAGTGTAATACCTGCTATCTCGAATTCGAATTGTGGTTACTTTGCTTGAATATGCAGTCAATAGTACGTCAATATGGGTTGAATAATAATTCACGGTGTTTAGCCTCACCCTTGACTTTCGATTTTCTGGCTACTCATGTCACGCACATATGTATGAGTTGCTAGATATTCAGATACCAAACACGATACATGTGTTTCTGCTTCTGTGAGGGCTGCTTTCTTCTTTGGGCTTGCTGTGTCTGTTATTTCAAGGGTGGGGAGGGTGGGGTTGATAACGTCCATGCGAAGGCGGCTTGCATCGAGTGGTTCTTGTTTGCTCCGTGCAGGGGTGGTTTTGCGGAAGCGTAAATTCAGTAGCTTTCGTTGCCTTTACCAAGAACCTCGCCAGCTCCAGATTCAAAGCTGTTCAAAGCTGTATTCCGAAAGCATGCTGTGAGTATCACTTGGAGGCTGATTGAGATCTTATCAGTCCTATTCAGTCCTGTTCCACGCGGAAGTAGACGCATAAAGGGCAAACTTGAACATCGCGCATTGAGCGAACATGTATATATGGCTTAGTCGCCAGACTGTGATCGTGAAGCAAGGCCTAAGACCGTGATCGTGAAGCAAGGCCTAAAACTCATGTGAATGCTATATGCTAGGCACATATTCGTCCAATATTGGTTGATCAGCCAACGACAAATTTGTACAAAAAGAAACGTACAATTGTCAAACCCGAAACGAGTACTCGGAAAAACATAGTTTAGATACTCAACACATATCGTTGAAGCACGTCTTGAAGAGCATCTTTGTCTTAACTGGTTCTGACTGAACTATGAACCTTAAACTGCATGTTGATGAATATCTGCTACAGATGTCTGAGTATGCACTGAACACCCATGACATATTGTTTGCATTAACACTTAATGGTCAAACACCTGTGAACAGTATGCTCATGCCAACTATATTTTTGACATATATATTATATGTATGTGCATATATATATATAGAAATATGTACATATGTATATATACGTACGTGTGCATATGTCCGAATATGAGTGAGTGTTAAACAGTTACTGGGCAAATGCTTATCTACGTGTCCCGTTCCTGTTAAACCATGAACTAGACAGAGCCGTATAGTCCAATGCTGAACATCAAAAAAGCATCAACCGAACCTTGCACGTGTAATCATACTGAAGTCGTTATTAATCGTTGACACTGAAATGCCGACTTCATGTCGATTGAAAACTTGTTATTTGCTACTCCAATTTCAGCCAATATCTGCTAGCCAATACCCAGACCCAGTTTCGAACGACTTGCACACTGATCAAACGATTCAAACACCATACGAGCAGTCAAATTTGCGTTTAGTTCCCCGAAGAACAAGTTCAATAAACAATAGACTCGAAATAAGACACTCAAGGGCATCTGACCCCCATGTATCCACCTTTTTTGGCCTAAGGTACGTGCCATCGAGAGCGGTAATACAATCTGTCTTCAAGGGCCGTGGGTTTTGGTGTAGGGCTTAGGGAAGCCTTCGCAAGCTTAACAGAGAAAAACGCTTACCTTACAACTCTAACTGAAAAAACATCCGAAAACAAACTAACGGAAAAAACCTAACCTTAAAATACAAAAAACAAAAAAACACAAAATTCGAGAGTCTTGTCACATGCCTCAGATTGGAAGACCAGAATCTAGCTTTTGTTCTCTGTTGTTCTGTTAGGTCTTGCCGGTTAAACGATTTCGGCTAGGTTTGTTCGATCAGATTTTCTCGATTAGGGTTTCCCTCAATTCATCTTCCAAAGGCTTCCGTAAACCTTTTCCCCTAGCCCACGGCCCTTGAAGACCAACTGTGCGTACTTGAGACCAAAAAGGTGGATCCATGGGCGGAGGGCACCTTCTATTTGTGTGTGTGTGTGTATATATATATATATGTGTGTATATAGATTCATCCATATACACATTTTACCCATGTCGCAGACACCTACTGTATGCGGTTATATATACATATACATATGTAGCACTTCATACTACTTCATCGTGGTCTGTCTGTCTCCCCACCCCACCTGACACCCATGTGGCTCTTGTCTTTCCTCTTGTCCTGGAACGAACTCGGCACCTGCACCATCAGAAAGTGCCGTGCTAGGAATGCCTGCTTTGTGAGCGCATGGCCGACTTGGAAAACGAGATCTTTCCTCGTGTGACTGCGGACCGCTAATACTGAATCTCTCTGCAGTCCGACTTGCCTCGTTCACCCGGGCTGCCATTTCCGGCTCGACCTTAAGGGATAGGCGACCGAGCAGAGAGGACTTCGCAATAAATCTGGCCTGGTTCTTGAAGGATGTAAACACGTCCGGGGCGTTGCTGAGGTCCTGAAATCGTGAGTCGACTCTCTCATGATGTAACACAAGTAACACACGAGCGGGCAAGAGTAGTTGCCTGCCGAAACGGCAGATCGTCACGGTGAAACAGCGTGCTCCCCCAGCAGTACTCCCATGCCTGCAAGTGTCGAGAAACGCAAACCAGCCAGCGCTGGAGCTGTCGAAGTGCATGCCAGGCCATATAGGCGGCGACAAGACGAATCCCGTAGCAAGAGGATGGAGACCCCCGCCTCGCAGCCCTTGGCAGCCAGCTCACGTCGAAGTGCTTTGTCCACCGAACGCTCCTCTGAGGTCACCTCTTCCTGTCTCTCACATGAAATCTGAAAGCTGCGGTCATGATACTGAGGGTTGCAAGCTCATCACCTCAACGGGTGAAGGAAACTTCTCGGGCGCGCCTGTGTCACAAGCACGGACTTCTTGTCCAGAAGAGATGGCAGGACGTCCTGAAACACCAAGGGCGGGCTTTCTTGACTTAGCCGCCTTTCCCTCAGCCTTAGTAACCTTAGTGCTTAGCCGCCAATCTGCATCCTGAGCCTGGCCTCCGGCTTACCGACTTTCACCAGGAGGTCGGAGCCTCGGCTCGGGGAATCGTCTCGGTCGCGCCTTCAAAGAACCAGACCCCTTTTTTAAAGGGCACCTCCATCTCTCCGACTGTTTGGGCGGGGAGCCCAGAGAGCGAAGCCTGCGCTTCAGAACACGCACGGACTGCAGGAGAAAGAGCGCCTGGGACAGCGAAGTGCACAAAGGAAAGAAATGCCTCTTGCATATTATAACAGTATCACAATATCACCATCATATTACGCAGTAGATTCAGTGCCTCACATATCACAGAGTTCTCAGAATCTCTCATCTTTGCCAAAGTAAATGCCAGGGCACCCGGAAGGCTCCCGTCTTCAAGGTGCCGAACTTCGTCTCCCGAAACTGCCGAGGATCAAAGAGGTATACCTGGCACGGCAGCTTCTAGTAACTAGGGTTTAGGGTTTATTATTATTATTATTGTTGTTTATTATTATTATTATTAGCATTATTATCATTATCATTGTTATTACTATTACTATTGTTATTAAAATTATTATTAGTATTATTATTATTACTATTATTATTACTATTACTATAGTACTAGTTGGAAACTTGACAGGACGCGGAAAGCCACGACAGTCGTTTTGGTTCCGTCACTACCACTGCTAAAGCTGGCCGGTCCTCTCTGCGACTGCTGTTGCATTGCGACCCGGACGACGCTGGCTTGGGCGGACACTTCCAGAACTGTGCCAAGCAACTGGAAGCACAGGAAGCTTCTGCTCTCGAGACAGCTGTGCAGCACGGCTCAAGACCTTGTTTTCACACATCATGCAAGCAAGCTGGCAGGAACGCGCTTCACGGACATGACTGAACCATCTCTGCAATCTTCTCTACTTGTGCTTGCTGCGAGGGAACTGATGCAACATGCTGTGTGTCGTACTGGCGAGTCGTGAACTCGAAGATCGTTCCGCAGCCATGCGCAAACAACATTCAGCGCCATGGCAGACGGAGCTCAAGTGCCGCACTGGGCTGATGGCTGTGTTGCCAATTGCGGAAGGAGCTTCTTAGAGACCACATCTTGCGACTGAAAGCATGATGCGTATGCATGTCGAGCTGAGGCTGCGAGTGAGCAGCAGGGTCCAAGATTGGTCAAGGCTCACATGGCTCACTTCAGAGCTTCACTGTGAAGAACCCACAAAGCCTCAGCACCCTGTTGGGATCTCCAGATGCAACGGCAGCCAACGGCACACATCCAATCACAACGGAGTAACCGCTTTGCGTTTGCCTCTAGCAGTCATCAACGCTGGCGCCTTGAGTCCAGCCACAGAAGTCACGCCGTAGTGGCCCAGGAAGTGGACATTGGGTGCCACCTCGTCACCTGGCGTTCGCATTTTTTGCACTTGGTCAAATCTGCAATGGACTGCAGTGACCCGCAGAGGTGCATGGCCACAAGCATGCCGTCAAGACCTTGAGGGGACTCATCGATCAAATCCTGGGAGAAACACATGACGGAAGAGTGCGCCACCCTGCACAAGGAGGCACTGGATCCTTCCGAAACCTCCCACCTGGCAAGCGGGCCCGCAATCGATGAAGTAGATCGGCACACTCGGCTTCCTCAGAGCACAGAGCTCAGCCCGGCAAAAGCATGCATTGGAAGTGCACTCATGTTCCCGTACATGAGGGAACCAATGGGCATCCGCCGAGCCGCTCCTCAACATCCAGGTTCATCTCCTCGAAACACACGATAAGGAAACTATTCAAAGGCAACTCTGCGTGTAAGGCAATGCTGCCAGTCCTCGGCGCTGAACTCACCCACGCAGAAGACGGCACGAAAACGCTGCTCCTGCTGCAAAAAACACTTAGTGTGGCCACGCCGCTGTGCAAACATGTGCAAACGATTGCCCAGCCTACTGCTGGCAAACCTGTTGTGCGATGGCACGGAACCCTGAAGTGCTCAAACTTAGAGGCTACAAGGGTTCAGGCAAGGGTGGAGATCCGCGAAAGAACCAAACACCTGGACGCTTAGATGCTACCCTACCAATGCTGCTTGGGCATTGTCACCCTCCGCTGCTCCTAGCTGGTCCTAGCTAGCTCCAAAGACCTTTGGAGAATGCAACGACTCCCGGATGACCAAAAATCAATTTTGGGTTTCCTTACCCTCGTGTTTTCCCACTGTCCCAGATGACAGTCTCCTTGCTTTTCGGTGGGAATCGGGGAGTTGCAAGAGGACCGATGCCTGCGCTTCAAAATCAAACCTTAAAAGGGTGGATGGCTGGGAATGGGTTCAACCTGAAACTCCGGAACCGCGAACATAAGCAACATAAGTGTGACAGCTGCCGAGCTTAAACTCGGCTCTGGCTCAGGACCTGGACCCTAGAAGCAATAGCCGTCCATTTCTGCAAAGTCTCAGTACCATCGTATACTCGGCATGCAGCTTAACATTGCAGCGATCTTACTTCTTCCATGGCATTGGTGCAAAACCTATCAAAACGTTCAAAGGTCCAACCAACTTGGGATCACCGAGATGTGCCCCCACTCTGCACCAGGCCCTGTTCCCTGTGAAACGGCCTGAAACGAAGCAAAGAACCGAGCCCGAACAGGCGATGTCAGGTATGCAAGATAACCTCAAAGCCAGCACACGTAAACGCCGGCAGTCAGGAGGGCCGGATACCAAAACCCTGAAAAGCATACATGGACAAGCATGATGGGCGAAGCAGAGGTAAGTTCTGCTGGCCAAGGGCACGAGCGTGCCACAAGGGTCGGGCACTTGCCAGAAACTTGGTTGAAACAAAGCCCGGATATTTGCCACCGCCCACCTCGGGGAGCTTTCGCTGCAAACCGTCCACGCATTTGCCTTAGCTGCCCGAATGGGCCAACAGCAAGCATAGGCATACCCCACATCTCAAATGCTATACTCCCCCCTATGGTTTTCAACCCATTCTGAAAGCACACCCCAAATCAACCATGCCAAAACCCATATCACAAGCAAAACAAATCGACCTCACCAAAACCCATATCACAAGCAAAACAAAACAACCTCACCAAAACCCA